CCAAGCTCACTCTACAATAATAAATTGATAAACATATATTAATATAAAAAGACTAATTAATATAGCATTAAAGTAGTTTATTAACTCAATCCCCATAATTGGCTTATCTAAAAAATTTATCCTTAGGAAAAATAATAATTCATCTATTCTTCCAAGTGACAATTTCTAGTACTTCCCAACTCTATTTCTCTCATTCACATTATTAATAAGAATAATCCCTTCAAATCATCTAAAAATCTCCAAAAAGTGCTTACTTTAACTCTTAGAAAATAACCATATATCAACTATGCCTTCAATCATTATTAAAATCCTATTCCCTTCTTCCATTAATCATTTCCCATTCATTAGAATTAATAACTTATAATATTTTCCTCAATTTCCTCCAAACACCCAACTTCCACTACTTAAAGTCTCTCCAAGAATCATCAACATTACTATTTCAACAACAATCCTCAAAGTTTAAGCATTGGATCCTCAATATAACCTCAAATGAACTCAACTAAGAGATAAATTTCGAAATTAATATCATCATTAATACAAATCACAATTTCCCAACCAAACCCTAACTTATATTGTCTCAAATCAACCATCCAACTAAAATCTGAGTCATAAGACTTTTATTCTAACCACATAAGCTCCATTTATATCCTAATACTAAATTAGAAACCTTAAAAATTAAAAATCTAACAAGCCCTAATAAACTTTATTTTCTGCCATACTTACAGAAATAAAAGAAAAAGCTAAATAAAAAATATAGGATGAAGATGACTCACCCAAATAGCTTATATGTACCCAAGTAAAGCCCTTTTTCTTTCTCACACTCTCAATTTCCCACTCACTCACACTTACTGTTTCAGCGGACCAGAGGAACAGTGAAGACGAAGGGGAATGTAAGGCACTGGACGGAGGAGGAAGAAGGGAAAAATGATTCAATTATGGGGTCACGTGACCCCTTATTCAAACCTTTAGTGTTTTTTTTTTTTAAAGGTGGGTCACAGCCCACCGGGGATTAACTCCCCTCCCCCAAAACAAACAGTGGGTGGCCGCGTGCCACCCACTGTTAATATATATATATTTTATATATTATATTATCTATATATATTTTTTAAATATATATTAATTATTATTTAACTATTATTTATTAATTAGTAGTTTACCCGTAATTAAGATTAGCTTCAATGATAATTAATTAATCTCATTTTAATAAACTAAAATCTAAATATATATATTTTTGGATGTTACAGATATCAATTGATGTTATCAAGAGGGGCAGTTAATACACGCTGTACTCTTTTTTCCTTTTCTATGGTTTTTTTCCCATTGGGTTTTCCTAGCAAGGTTTTCAATGAGGCAGCATTGAATAGTGTATCAGTGAATGTGTACTCTTTTTTTTCTACTAGGTTTTTATCCCACATGGTTTTTCCTAGTTGAAGTTTTTTAATGAGGCACATATCTTATATAATGGACATCCAAGGGGAAGTGTTATGAATATTATAACATGTGGATGTCCATCTCCTCTTCTTCCTCTTCCTCTTCCTCTCAACTTCGTTATCAACTCCCACTACTTTCATTAGGCATTAATCTTCCACTACGCCATTACCTTTCCACTATGCCTTTAATCTTGTAACTCCCCGACTCATATTCATGTGATTTATTGTCCATTATCTATCATTTAAGTATAAATGTAACTTATGTGTAAGACTATGCCTATAAATAAGACATGCATTGTATTGTGATGTAAGTGAAGCAAGTGAAGGAATACAATATCATTCTCTCATTTTCTTGTCTACTTCTATTCTCTAATCTACTTTCATTGTTGGTTAATTTCATAACAATCCGGGAATTTTCAGAATTTTTCGTCACCTCTAGGTATTTACTTTGAATTTTCTCTAATTAGGCCTCTATTGGGGTCACTGTGGGAAAATAAATTTCCTAAACTTAATTTCTAAGCTTCTAAGGCCTACAACTAATTTTAGAAATTCAAAAAAAATATTTAGATGATTTTTCCATTTTTTTCCAAATTTATTGAGGCATTTAACTATTTTAAATAATTATTTTCCTCTGATTTTACTATTTTCCCAAAAAACCTTTGTTTTCAAAAAATTTTGAAATAAGTTATTTCCCACTATTTTCACCTTTTGAGCCCAAATTGAGGTTCCAAAATCTCAAATTCATTTTCTACCATTTTTCAGGAATTTTGTGGAATTTTCCTCCAAATTTCCTAATTTACCTTTCATAGACCGATAATTACGAATATGCGAGCCTGGACTTTATTGGGATTTCTACATTAGCTCTCATTCCAATTTTTAACTTCCTATGTCCAGGTAAAATTTTTCAGGATGTGACACTTGTTATCATCAAAACTTTAATAATAGCATGTTACCTCATAGAACACCTTCAAGAATTTGGAAACACTTTTGCCGTATTTCAATCACCAATTTTAGAAGGGCATTCACATTTAGATTTGTCCCCTTTAAATTTTTCCTCAGTAGAACTTTCTTCTTCATTCTTAGAACATCTAGCAAAGTGTGGCTCATAATCATGTATCGTCTTCATCTTCCAATATTCAAAAGTCTTTTGAAACTTCAAAGAAAATTCTAACGTCAAGTAATTTGAGTTCTACCTAATACTAACATTAAGATAAAGGTGACCCCCCCGGCATAACCTGTCCTTCCAATTCTTAAGCTTCGTTTACAAATATGATAAGATAATATCATTAGACGATGCCTTATTCATGGTTATGGTAAACACTTTTCAATTGCATTGCCAATTGTATTATTTTTGTGATTTTCAATCATGTAGAAATTCAATATCCTTTTATGCAACTTCTACTCATGATTAATGAAATGACAAGTCAAATACAAGTAATTAAATTTATGAAAGGATGTCCAATAATCAGTTTTTAAAACACCCTCAATATGCGGACTTCTTTACCACTTGCTTTAGTATTTTAATTTTTTCAAAGAATAGTTGCCAACAATCTCTAGCAACTGTTATTCATGAAGGGATTCCAAATCTTGGTTCTAGCACTTTGGCAGAGTTTCTAAACCCCTGCTTCTCTACTATCTTGAATGGCATCTCATCACAAATAACAAATCTATTTAGTGCTCTTCTACATCATTTTTTTTTATTGAAAACATGAGGTACTAAGCTCTCGCTTGTTATTTACTATGTGTTTTTCAAGTTTTTAAACTAGGATTTTTTCAAAATTTGTAATGTAACTATCAACTCTTATAACGATATTCACATCTCTAATAAACACTATTTATCATGTGTTTATCAATTTTTTTAATTTTTTCAATATTTACAATATGATTAACAATTCTTATAATAATATTAATAACTCTATTAACACCATAGGGTTAGGCACTTATTAATTTTTTTCAAAGTTTAAAAACCTAAAAAATACATGATTAATAGTGTTAATAGAGTTATGAATACGGTTATAATGGTTGTTTGTCATGTTATCAATGTTGAAAAAATAAAAAAAATTTGTCAGCTGCCAGACTTCTGGCACTAGCTGCCAGCCGACAGCCACTGGAGCTTTGGCACTGATTGTTGTAGTTATTAGTGTTGGCGCTTAGGCAGCTGGCCAGCCATGACGTGAGATTTTTTATAAACAAAAATAAAGGCAACGTTATAAATTTGCTAACATTTTAAAATTCTAACTTAGTTATTACGACTGATTTGAAATTTTGCAAATTCAGGAAACTTTTTAGGATTTTGGAAATTCAACTATCATTCTTTTGAAAATTTCCCAATTTGTAATTAAAAGGATTTTTTTGTGTGTTATTTTTCACTAACCCCCAACTTGGATTGGGAGAAAATTAGGGAGAAGAGAAAACTAAGAAGGAAAAGAAGAGTAGAAGTAAGTTTTTTTTTTACTTGGATAAGAGAGAAAATGTGAGAAGAAAAAAAAATTGGGAGAGAAAATAAGATGAGCCCCATGTCTCGTTTTTTCTCCATATGTGGAGAAACTTGGGGAGGAAAAATAAATTTTTGCTATTACCTCTCCTCTCCTGCTTTCTTGAGCTCTTCCTCTTCACATTTATTTTCTTCTATTATATTTAAAAAATTATCCAATTTAATTTTTTAATCTTAAAACAATATTTTTATTAAATAATTTGGTTTTAAAATACAATAGTTTGAAAATGTATATAAACTAAATAACTTGATTTTAAATTATTTCATGATGATAATGTTATTATAATTTTCTTATTGCAATATTTAATTTGATTTAATTTTATATATGATATATTTTAATGTAAATATTTTAATTATTTAAATATTTGTTTATTTTTATCTATTTCTCTCATCTATCTAAATAAAAGACATCATAATATCTTCTCTTTGGTTTTTTTCTTCGCTATATATATTTTTTCTTTTTTTTTCTCCAGCTAACCAAGGAGAACAGTAAAATTAAAGAAGCGCTATTTCAACCCGCACCTCAAAGACAATATTCTATCTTGTAACCGGAGGGGGGGAAAAAAAACCAATACAGATACAGATGGGCACGCTTTCTCTTTTTCGTTTCTCTTCGTCAAAGCAATGTAAAGCCTTCGGCTTTCGTAAATCATAGCATGTCCATCCGTTGAAGCAAAACTTCGCGACGTTCCATTCATTCATTCCTCACACTCAGAAGTCACAGCACTCTCGCCATTAACAGCCGCTGAGCTTTGGCTTGAACGCAGCGTTTTTTCACTCAGTTCGACACACTCTGCGCCCACCAAAGGCCTCCATACGACACCGTTTCATCCTTTGCCCCGGTACCGGTGTCAGTGGTTGAGCGCCTCCTGCCTTTTTGCCCACTCATAAATGGATTTCCATTATTCGTCCTCACCTTGGTTTTAAGTTCCATTTGGCAGCATACCTCTTAGGGACATGATCTGAAGTTATTGGACTTGAAGATTTGATTCTTGGAAACGAAGCCCTAAGCTATTGTTTTAGGGTTTTGTTCCTTTGGGATCTGTTGATAATCTATTCTTTTCTCAATTTTCCAAATGGCGGATCAGGAAGAGGAGGATTTTCAAATGGCTATACGGATGAGTATGCAACCGTCGCCGCCGGAGCCTAAGCGTAGCAAGCCGAGGGATGCCGCTATTTCTGGGGTTGTTTCAGGGTCGCCGGAGGAGTCTCCTGAAGCCAAGAGCCGGCGGTTACAGCGGGAACTTATGGCTGCTGCTGCTGAGAAGCGGATGATGGCGGCGAAGAGTGTTTCATCCCCAATAGTTAAAGGTGGGAAGAGTGGGGAAGGTGGCAGGAAAGAGGAGTCTTATTTGGTAAGTGGAAACTTGAGTAAGGAGCTATCTCAAGAAGAATCCATTCAGTTGTTTTTTATGGTGTTTGGCAATGAGGTTTCAAAGTCTGTTCTTGCACAATGGAGCAATCAGGGAATAAGGTATTTGCTTTTCATTATTTTGTTGCGTGGGGTTGTGTGGCGTTTCATTTCCGTCATTACATTGCTCTTGGCAAATTCTTGTTTATGATAAAGTTTCGTGATTTCCCTTATTCCCCGTAACCATTTTATTCTAATTTGACATTAATTTGAAAAAGACGTTTGAACGCTAACAATTGGTCAAGTCAAATTTGAATTTTAACCGTGGTGCTGTATTGAATCACCCGTTGCCTGATGATGTTTTTACGTCACATAACATGATGAGTTTCTAAACATTAGTCTTCTACTGGTACTCATAATCATGGAATTTTTTCTAGTTGATCAGAATGTATTACGGAATGTTGTAATGCAGATTCCAGCAGTTATAGCTTTTATTGTGAATATTCTCTGTCTATTGGAAGTATTTTTACTGTCACTCGCAATCATGAAATTTATTCTAGTTGATTAGAATCTATTATGGAGAGTTGAAATGCTGAGTCCTGCAAATACATTTTTTGTTATTGATATTTGCTGTCCGCGATATATACCTCCTTACTTGTGGGTAGTAACTTACTTCTTTGTGAACCACGAGAGAGCTAATCTGACTTGTAACGTCATGCACTCTCAAAGAAACCCATTAACCAACTGCCCTGATCTTGCCAAATGTCTTTATTCGACAAAAGAGGGTGGAAGATCTAAGAATGTTATAGTGAATCATGAATAAGATAAAATGAAATTGTAATTATCACAGCGTTTCTTTGTTTGGATAATTTCTTATAATAGAGGAAAGGGAATGGCTGTATTCATTGGGAGAGCAAAAGATAGAGGGAAAAGAAAAATAATCCATATTAATTGACCTATGCACCTTTTTTGGATAGACAATATAAATAAAACTATGACCCAAGAAAATATGGAAATATTTAAAAATACTTATGGTTCAATCAAACTGTATGGAAAGTTTCACAAGTTGGGAATAACGATGCCTGATTTGCCCGTCAACCCTATGAAGCATGATGTACGACCCAAATTGTTGGGTCATTCAGGTATTAGATATCAAGGTTGATGGGATTGAGATCTTACTAGTAATCAATTGAAGGACTAAATAGATCAATTCAAGGATTAGATCTTGGGAGGATCAAAATAACTATAGGGTATTTCAGTTCTGTCAAAGCTGGCCCTAATCCCAGCCCAGAGTCCTAGGCCTGTATATATTCTGAAGCGTGGAATTTGAGAAGCAGATGAATGAGGGGGTGTTTGGTTTAGAAGCAATTTTGCGTTTTATGAGACAAAACTCCTCTCATATATTTACCTCGTGTAAAATCAGTTCTCCACCATTAATTCAAATGGGCATTATATTGTTGTTGCGAAACTTGTCAAAGTTATGTTGATACTGTTTAAATAATATTTAATGGTTATTGATTATGAAAAACTTCATTTTATTATATTTTACTGTGATTTTATACAAATAAATTTCATGTCATTGGAATCTACTTTGGGGATTTAGGGATTCATTGATGAAGGAGATAAGGCTTAAGTTTGTTACCCATTCGGCTATGGGTTTGGGCATAGGGGCGCCAGTATCTTTCTCATATGCTATATAGGATCATTCCCAATTCAATCAAGGATTGGAAGTGCCTATCAGGAATGAATGAATAGCAATAAAAAATGTTCATATGCAAGCATGAATGTTTCAGTTAAGCATAATATTATCAAAATTATGCATAAATTTACTGAAACAATATACCATTCAAGTAAACAAGGCCCAATACATTTTGATTCACATCTCTTGTGCCTATCTTATAGGTCTAATTCACCTCGCAACTAAGGGCGCACTTCTCTTCTCGTAATTATGGAATCACCTCGTATTTAGTACTTCTATGATATGGAAATCTAGGTTAAACTACGGTTTACCCACTTCTGGCTCATCAATTGGGCAGATAGGAAGGAGGACTAAAAGCAACCTATCCTTGCCTAGGGGCCTAGGAAACCCTATCCACCAAGAATCCAATGGAAATTGATGCTAGAAGTAACTCAAAAGGAGAAGGTATGAAAAACTTCCCCAGGTGAAAGAACTTTCTATAAATATCCTTGGAAGGAACGAAGGAAGGAGAAAAGAGTGAGGAGAAAGGCCACCCCTGCAATCTTCACTCTCGCTTCACTCTCCATCTACGTTATTTCTCCCATCGTAAGGTTACGCAGTACTCTCCCCATAGCAAGAGGTATGAAATTGCTTACTCATTACAGTAAGGAACAGAGTAGCTGAGAGTCCTTTTCCTGGAAGTCTTCTTCTTCTCGTTCGCCCCAACAATCACTTCACTCTCCCTAGGGATTCATTAAGGAATCAATCTATTCTTTGAGACTAAACCAATATTAATATTAAAGCTAGCTCTTCTTGCTTTTTTGGAGGATCCTTGCTTTGTCTAGACAGCGATACAAGCAGTCCCCTCGTTGTAAAACGTTTTGTTTTCAATTTCATAATTGAGGGCAACCAGATGCACTCCATTGTGCGGGTTTCCAATGATGCCAAGATGCGGAAGAAAATGGTAAGAAAAGAAAGTGTATCTATTTCATCTGTTCTTGTTTTAGAAGTTATCCTTTATACAGAAGAGTTATTTCTTTATTAATTAGACGATTTATTGCCTCTCATGTATGATTTTGATTAAAGTGTGGTATTTAGTACTTCTCAATCGACTGAAACCTTCAAAGATTGAAAGAGAGCAAAAGTTGACTCAAAGAGAGCGGTTAACTGACTGCCTTTATTGCTTCTATTTCCTTTCTTTCCTTCCCGCCTATAGGAACTTATCCTCTACTTATTAAGCATGCATATTATGTCAGTGAAGACTTGGGGCTTGTTTGGGAGGGCTTAAGAAATCCCCTATAAGCATGTTTCATGTAAGCCGAGATAAAACTCCTCTCGCATGCTTGTCTTATATTCTGTAAATTACTATTAAAAAGCTACTTATAAGCTGTTCCAAATAGACCCTTGGTGTGAAGCCATGGAGCTTATGTTACATTAGAAGAGCAGTCAAACATGAAGACATCATGTCATAGTAATAACAAGAGGAGATAATTACACAAGGCTTGACAATGTGAATGTAGTGAGGTAAAAATAGAAAGCCAAATTTCACTTCCTTTGAGCCTAAAATCTTTTCCTTTCCTGCCTTTTTGGCCCTCGCTGTAGCTAGAATCTACTTTTGACATTGAAACAGATTATGAACTAAGTTGAAACTCAAAAGTTGGGCAAATTAGGGGTGGGAAAGGCTGTAAATATCTAGGATATCTCATTTTTTGACATGGTTTAATAATTTTCTCATCATACTAAAGGAAAACTAATGTAGCATAAGAAGAGTTGCTCTTATTTTCACATGTACTATTCTGTTAGTTTGGTTGATTGATATGAGGGCGAAGAAGAAAGGGACTATAGTTCTGTACAATCTGAAAACAATAGATCTAAAATAATGGACCACCAAAGGTAAAAAGAGTAGAAAAAGACATAAAATAAGGTAAAATAATAAACCTAATAAAGGAATGATAAAAAGGTGAGACAAGAAAGTAAAGTTTGAGGTTATCAACACCCACATGACCCATGAAACTAGAAATCAAGAAAAATGGAAAAAATGCTGCAAATCCAGAATCACACAGGATGGGTAAGATCTTAAGATCTGAATAATTAAATAGAGATCCTGGAAAATTTTGATCTACATAAAATTATGATCTTTGGGTTTATCTGGGAATGTAAGATTTTAACATTTAGTTTGAGTTTTGACTATCTTGCATAAAGGTGAAAGTTAGCAAGCTACTGCATGAAATACTATAACCGGACATGGCTTTTATCTTGCTTACTTCTGATAGGAAAGACACCACTATATGATTCCATCCTCTGTTGCATCTTATATCTTTTTACAGAGTTCTAAACTTATGGCTGTTTAAGATGATGGGGATGTTTGAATATCAGATGAAATGGCAGTGGCGATCAAAGAAAATACTTAAGGGGGCTACATAGGGGTATAGGGATTTAGGATGTCAAGGATGTTCTTGAGCTGGATTACCGGTCAACCCATCAAGACAACTTATTTTATTTGCTGAAAATCCAAAGGTACCCATACTATCGTGGGTATAGAAAAATGGGCTTGGGCTGATCGTTTTATTGTAGGAGACTTTTAAATTTTTTTAGCTATTTATTTAAATTATGTAAATATTTTAATCAATAATACTCCCTCCGGTTCAAAATATAAGCTAAATTTTATCATTACGTTTATTAAGAAACTAATTAAAATCAATTTAAAACAATAAATGTGTAAGGCATATATTTGTTTTTTCTAATATACCCTTATTAATGAAGAGAATAAGTAAAAGATGTAATAAATGAATTAAAGAGAAAAGAGAATATATGGGGGTAAAATTGGAAAAAACTCATTAAATGCTTGGATAAAAGTGAATGTTATCATATAAAAAAAAAGCTAGCCCCTTTAAAAAAGTTTAGCTTATATTTTGAATTGGAAGAGTATTTATTAATTAACCTGCTAGTTATTTTATCATTCAGTTTATTAGAAATAAGCTAGTAATTTTTAATGAAGTATACAAATGTTTTTTTTTCTATGCATATGAATTGAAGTTAGCGATTCGAAGTAAATTTTTACCCTTCAAGTATAATGTAGCCTACTTCCTTGTATTGCCTGTTTTGAATTGTACAAAGTTCCTACTCAAGTACTTAAGCCTATATGCCATTTTGTAAAGCATCGCAAATGAGGTAATGTTGTGTTACAGAATCATTATTCTGTATGAAAGAGAAAGAGGGAGAAAGAAGGAGTATAAGAGAGTAAGGAGAGACAGAGAAGGAGATGAGAGAGAGGAGAGAAAATTTATTTCATTCACTTAAATCGAAAATCTGAGTACAGCACTTATTAACTAACACTAACTCCCTCCTTTTTTTCTTATTATATTTACATATCAATACCACTTCCCCAAAGCACCTTTGATCCAAAAAAAAAAAAAAATCGTACACAAAACAGAAGAACATAGGCTCTTAAATTCTGAAAAGAAAGAGAAAGAAAATTTTTTTGTTGGATAGTGCTTTCTATGCCATGTATTGACTTGTCACTCTGCTTCCTTACCACTTATGTACTTCAGCCCATGCTGTATTGTTCCCTTTTTTTTCTGCAAACTGACACTGAACCCTTGATGTACAGTATACTTCATCCCTTTTTTCTTCCTCATCTTTACCAACTGAAACCATTTTTAAGGGTCATGAAAGAGATATGCCAGCTGGCCCTTTGACTTTTCTTTTTCAAAAATAAGCAACACGTAGGAGCTTTTGAAGCCTGACAATGCATTTGTTTATTCCAAACTCTTTGCTGCTACTTTGCTCACAAGAATATAGACAAGGATGGAAAAGAACAGAAGGAGAATGAGCAAAACAGAGTGCCTTCTTCATTTTTGGGATTCTGAACGAGTTTTGTGACTTTAGAGATTTCTTTTGGAGCCTATCAACTAAAAGAAGAAAGAGGAACCGGTGGCAACAACATCAACCCACATGCGTTGCACGACACACCTTGAAAACATACGAGAGAGTCGAGAGCCGATAACCCACCAACTCCAGATGCGAGTTTTGCATTCCTCCATGGCTTTGAATTGCGCATTTCATTTAAGGTCTCACTCGTTCACAATCCACTCGTATCAGAATTCATCTTTGCATGTGAGTTCTTCTCTGTCGCACTCGAATCTTGTTGTATTGACTAGAGCTGGGAAACGACGGGCTCGCCTCTTTAAGCCCTTTTAAATTGAGGGTCAAACTCATAATTTGGGGTCTCTAAAGGGAACTTAGACTTAAAAGGGTCAGTCTTGTAGGGCTGAAAAATAAAAAGGCAGGCCTACGGCCCTTTTAAGCCTGCCAACAGAAATAATTTATATTCTTTTTCCTTTGACCCTAACCTAAGTCCCTAACATTTTACATACTGTCCTTCTCTAATTTTCACTTTTAGTCTTTCACTCACTCTCAGTTCACATCTCAGTCGCTAATGATATTAAAATGAATAAAAATATATTCTCCATATTCTAAATCAGGTTTCAAATTTGTATTTATTTGAATCAACAATTATATATTAAAATAAACAAAATATATTCCCCTTATTAAAACACAAATTTTAATGATTGAACCAAGAGATGCGTATCAATTTGTATATGTTATAAAATTTTAATAAATAAGTTAACTCTTTTTCTGTAGTGACTATATTAAAATTTTACCCTGTATTTGAATAGAATTAGACAAGCGAGCTAGACAAAACTAAGAAAGACCATCTTGAACAAAAAGCAAAGAGGATGACATAGTTAGCTCATTAAAAGCATACTATGGATCAATCCAAAGTGTTAAGATATTTCAGATTTCTTATGAGACTGTACAGCAAATTGATTTTCATAATTAAAGTCTGAGAAAAAAATACTCCCTCTGGTCTACAAACGAGGTTTTATAATTAGGACAGGAGGTAGTAAATAGACAACACAGAATCAATCCCTAGTGATTGCTAAGTTGAAACTGCTAAAACAAACTTAACATTGATACTTTTAAATAAACTTATGGGTGGGCAAAAAATTCAATTCAAAAGGACGAAAGAAGACATATTAGACTCCAGAATAGCTAAATAGTATTGAGAAGGAATCATTGATATTTTTAGAAGTTAAGAAGAGCCTATTATTAGTTAAGCACAATCAAATATTCTTACAATTGATGATAGTGATGATAGTGTTTGTCTATTTTTTTTTTTTTTTTTTTAGTGAAAGTATTTGTCTACTTTTAATGGAACTTATGGTTGTTAATGTTATTGACTTGTTATGTCTAGTGGATGTTTTAAATTTTTTGTATGTTGATGGATATTTAGATATGATGATCTTTTGTATTTGTAACTTAATTTTATTGGTTTATTTTTATTTTTTGATAAAACAAGTAAGAAATATGAAAAATAAATTATTTTGTTTTTAACGGGCCAAAAGCTTGCGGGCCTGCTCTGAGCTAGTTTGCTTAAGAGCTAGGTTTAGCAAATTGGGGTATTTTTGAAATTTCAGCCCCAAAGGGTCGGTCCTTTTAAGTCTGTTGACCGTTTTCCCAACTCTATTATTGACTCTCCAAGGTCCATGCTCGTGGATTCCTTTAGCTTGTGCCCGTCCTGAACTTCCTAAGCGTTTTGCAGTATTCTCCTTTTACTGTGTTGATATGATTCTTGGACTCTAATGCAATCTTGGGCAGCGGTCGAACAAGACCCAACTTTTTCTTGAGCAGCTAGGTCGTCTTCTTGATTGTTCAAGACCTCTATTTCTTTTTTGGCATGCCTCTGCAAGTATCTCTTGCATTTTGGCCAATGATTGGGCTTCACGCATGGTTCTTGGTCTAAACAGTTGAACTAAAGAAGCAATTTCTTCCATTAGTGCGCAAACATATGCATCAATAAGGTAGTTGTTTGGTAAATCAAGATTGGCAGAGAGGGAGTCAAACGTTTCATTGAACTCAGCTATGGAACCCCGTTGTTGAAGGAGCCACAGTCGAAGTCGTTCGTCCATGTTAGAATGCCTTACTGCCATCTCTATATGTGAGTAATGACCATTAACTGAGAAATCACAGTGGAAGGGCCGAGGATGGTTCGGGTCTGATACCACTGTTGTAGAATTATTATTCTGTATGAGAGAGAAAGAGGGAGAAAGAGGGAGAATAAGAGAGTGAGAAGAGACAAAGGAGGAGACGAGAGAGAGGAGAGAAGACTTATTTCTTTCACTTAAGTCGCAAATCTTATTACAGCTTACCCGGTCCCCTTATTTATAGGCCTAAAGCACTTATTAACTAGCACTAACTAACTCCCTCCTTTTTTTTATTATATTTACATATCACATTGATCTTGGCCCAGCCATTAAAGTCACGTTCAATGATTATTTAAAGCAAAAGTTTAGTGTGTGATTCGACAATGAATTAAGTGACCTATGAAACTCTCTCCTAGAAATTTGCTATTGAGGTGGTGGAACCAATCCAGGTAAGTACTTCATAAAGCAAATTGGTGGAGAATGACTTGGGCCTCTTGCTAAAGCCCGTTAGGGTTCCCCCCCCCCCCTTTCATGTTAGTCTTATTTATTTTATTCATCATATCCTTGATGTTTTGGGTTTCTAATAAATTAGTTTTATTTCCTAGATAATTTAGGATTTGGTGTAGCTGATTTATCGCTACTCTCTTCTTTATATTGTAATTGCTGCCTTTGCAGTATTTGAGAAATATAATTTCTGAGTTCTGCATGGTATCTGTGCTCATGGCTTGAAGTCTGACCTTTGGTACATATAGTGGGTACCTTGGAGTTATCAATGGTAACACCACTAAGCCACCCAACCATGAGCACATCACAATCCTGTAACTCCTCTCACACAAGTGACAGCAACTGTGGTTTCATCAGTCAGTCCAGTATGGTCTTTTAAACATGGCTTGACAATACTACCATCATCATGGTCAAGAATTATTCTTATTGGAAAGAATGAGATTAACAATCTGTTGGGTCTTATACTCTATTAATAAATTGCGTTGGGCCCTTTTGCCATTTTATTCAACAAGTGGATATTTCCAGTGGCTTTGAGCCCAGATTTAACAAAATAAAAGTTTGAAGTGAATATGATCCCTTCAAGAAAATGCAAGATTGCTTTGGCTACTTTTCTTGATTAATTACAGCTGAGCATCAAATGCCTTTGCCCTTTGTCTCCTGCTTCGGTCCATTCATTCTGCCCATCGAAACAAGCTTCTTAATGGTCTACAAATCTTTATATAAGTCTTAAATTTACAATTTTGATGACTTTGGCTAGAAGTGAGAACATGCAAATATCAAATTGCTGATTATAAATATTTTTTGATGTGGTTGTGCTTCCAATGAGTCAACTGAGATGAGTCACTTTTTATCCTTAATTTCTTTCATTCTCAAAATCTTAAGAAGGAAGCAATGCACGTCTATCTTAATCTGGTCGATATATTTTGAAAATTTTCATCCTATCTCAAGCAGCTTTAATATTATTTTCTTTCTATACCCTAATCCTGGTGGTTTTATATGCTTCCTATATATTGGTAATAATGCAAAGTCTTTCCAGGTTTAGCTCTGACCCAGAAACATCTATGGGCCTTGTGCAGCATGAAGGCGGTCCCTGTGGCGTTTTGGCAGCTATACAGGTAATTAGCCCCTTTCAGCATGCTGTCTGTTGCTAGTTTTCACAACTAATATTTTCAACATGCTTATATCACATTCAAGATCTGTTCTATTATTTCTTGAAAAGTTTGGTGTCTGATTGGTTTCCTTGTTTTCTGTTTTAATTTTAATTGAAAATTGAAAACCTGACTTAGAATGTGATTGGTAGAGTCTAGGGGAAATAATTGCTCGGGATATTTTCTAAAACAAGTTGAAATTAGGAATTCTCTTAAACGTGTGTATTCCTAACGCTGTCGCTTTTAATTTTGCAAGAAAGCGTGCATTCTTACTAGGCAGATCCATTTTGTTAACTCGACTATGAAATTTGCGTTCCTATTACTCTCTAACCATATGAACCTCCCCATTTGTTGATGCTCAGTAGAAAAACAGTGAAATTTATACAAAGTGAAGTCAATTTGATTTGAGATCATAATCATATATGACAAATTTCTGAACATCGAGAACTTGCAACTAAATTAAAATTTTGTGAAATGAACATAGGTAATGAGGAAGGTTTAAGCCTTTCCCCAGTGTTCAAAATATGAATAACTAGTCAAAAGGTCAGGAATTTTAATTTCTCATAATATTGCTGATTTTCAATCATTCCTTGATTTCTGCAAGTGTTAAGAATCAGACTGACTATGGAGGAAGAAAAATGTTTGACATGTGAATAACTTATATCTAGTTGGTTGATACTTAAATTTGCGGAAAAACAATTGACCGCAAGATTGAAAAAGCTTACCAGTCTTGAGTGTCAATAATTTATCTTGCAGGGTAAATGTGCTTTGTTTTATTTCGTTGACCATGATTTTGTGGAGTCACTTCTCTGCTTCCCCCCCGGGGCGTGGAGGGTTGTTGGTTTTATGGAGCGAAGAGTCACTTCATTTTCTCTCTATTTATTCTTAACAGTTAGACCCTACTTGGTGGGGGCCCTGTGCACGGGTCTCCCCTTTTTCATGTTATGCGGATGATCGTAGTTATGTTTTATGTGAAGTTCCAATATCATTTTGTTATGTTGCATTATGGAAATGTCCTTTTTATCGAACTTCGATGCTATAGCATGTTCAAGTCATCTGTGTATATCTTCAAAATTGGATTTTGTACATCATTATCATTTTTTGGCCAATCATTATTTAAGACTTCCCAGTAATGTTTAAACTTCTCATCCTGTCAATGAAATGATAAACCTATGGGGCATGATTGTTAGCTTATGATCATTTAGTGGGGACATCTGCTTGTTTTATTATGTTCTTTTGATTTCATTTATCTTCACTGATATCCTCTGAATTCCTGGGTCTCCGGATGTTTTTCTCTATGCTTATATTGCTTCTTGTGTTTCTATTAATTTTCAGGCATTTGTGCTCAAATACATTCTTTTTTATGGTGAACTAAAAGATGTAACAACCACGCCGCACAATCAGGGTCTCAATGCTTTACCTAAAAGTCAATCTTTTCCATCAATTAATTTTTCTTCACTCAGTGAAGAAGTAAAAGCAAGGTAATTTACTTTCTCCTCATCAGTCGCCTGTCTTTTGGCTTGAAAAACATGTGATTATCAAATTGTACAGGTACAATTTTAGTGAACAAGAGTCCAAGACTCTTTGTGAATGACAAACAAATACAATTTTTTCTCATTGTTGTGCTTTTGTTTAAGTTACTCATATTTTCTTTTTACATGGCACAATTAAACTCTCTTTTGATTGTCCTCTACTTGTCTACCTTTCAACCCCCGTCTTTATTCATGTTCCTTTATTTGATATTAATTCATTACCTGTGGTGGCTGTTCATTGACTTCTTTAATTTGTCTTACCTCTCAGGCCTTACTTTACATTAAAGTTTTATTTATCATGCATCGGTCAAGAACATGTGATACCGAAAGCATTGGAATCACATTGACTATGCCTATAGAGTTACGTAGTTTATAAAGATGACCTTTGCAAAAGATGTTTGACCACAAAGACTGCCAGTGTTATCATTCCTTCTTGAAAGATGCAGTGATTCAACTGGATGTTTTTTTTGGCTTATGCTTCCATATCAGCTTAATTTCTCTTTTCATTCATTTTCTTAATGGTACAATATTTGCTTATGTAGATTATATCTGCATACTAATTGATAAAAGAAAATTTAAAAAGAAGAGAAGAGATAAATAGTTTACCTTGGAATATCCTCTTTGGGGTAACATGCTGGTCCTTGTGGAAGATGAGAAATGTGAAGATCTTCAATCCGCAGGGAAGTCACAATCTGGTTGGTAAGCAAGTCCACTTGATTCTGAATTTCGGCTGGCAGATTGCAAAAGTGAAGGATGGGACAGGGCTATTGAAGTAGAAGAGGACGATGTGAATGAAGAGGGAAGGAGGTGGGAGCTGCCCAATGAAGGATGGGTTAAACACAGATGGGGCTTGCAAAGGAGAACACGGAAAAGCAGGGTGTGGAGGGGTAGTGAGAGATTCAGATGGAGGGTGGATTGCTGGTTCTCTGCTCAAATCAGAAGTTGTACGGCGGAGGAGGCGGAGTGTTGGGGAGTCTGTAAAGGCTTGGAATTGGCTTGGAACCTGGGGTTGAGAAAGGTTCAGATTGAAACTGATGCCTCAGAAGTAGCAAAGAAATTCAAGGGAAAGGTGGAAAAAGGAACCTTTATAACTCACCTTTGGAATCAGATCTTCAAGTTGATGAATAGAAGAGGGGAGGTCAGAGTGGGATGGATTAGGAGATCGGCGAACTCTTGTGCAGATGCCTTGGCAAGATTGAGTTTTGAAATGGAAGGTGAGATGCAGATCTGGAGTGAAACTCCACGGGAAGTGCAGGAGATATGGGAGATGGACAGAGTACAAGGACAAGAAGCACGTGCTGGTCAAAACTCAGGGGAGAGAGATGATCCTGGATAGATTTCCTTTATGTTAATGGGCTTGGGCCTTCGTTTTCACCCAAAAAAAAAATCTTGTTTATGAATGATTTCATCTTTTCCACACTGCCCTTTGTGCTTCATAGCTCATATTTATACCTGCTATATACACATGTATGTTAAGATGTATGTGTGATTTCTTTGCAGGGCTCTAATAAGAAGCATGGGTGAAATTTTGTTTTTATGTGGAAGTAGTAGAAAGGCTGTGATTGCAACTCTGAGCGTTCTGGGGAATGACAATAAGCATTCCAAAGGAGTTTCAGATGATGAGGTGGGTTTCATCTTGTTGACACTGGTAACTTGTGAAACATCATATTGTAAAGAGATTAAATCAAAATTCCGTTGTCAGTGGAGTCATCTGTGGTTATTTCTTGATATTCTTTTTTGCTGATTCAAGTTATGTCTAATTGACAGGCTATCGCAAAAGAACTTGAAGGACTTTCCATTGAATCGGGCTTGGATCTGCAAAAGGTTCTTAGAGTTGAAACATACACATCACAAACAAGTGCATTGCGGAGGCTTGAAGCAATGATTCCTGTATACCAAAGTCGTATGGGGGCATTGCTTTTCCTGATTTCTGCTTTACTTTCTCGGGGATTGGTATGCTTGTCAACCGAAAACTTTGCTATATGATTGACATTGTAGTTTTACCTGGGTACCTGACATTTTCAGCAACCCTTTTCTGACCTGATTTCATGCTCCTTGGTTTTTCAGGACCTAGGATTTGGTCCTGGGCCTTTGGAGCTCCATGCACCCAAAGTAGTGACTTGTGGGTGCTCTCTGCTCAGTGACTAGCAAAGTCCTTTCCCTTCTAGATTACCATGCATCTAAAGGAAAGCCAGGGATTATCTGGTTTATTTAACCAATTATCCAAATCCAGGCAGATTTATTGGGAGATATATATTTTGTTTTGACCTGCAATAATAACTATTTTCAAGGCGTGAACTTACGCAGGCGTTTTGCATGTCTTACTTAGAAAAACTAATTAATAGGTAGGCCTGAGATTTGAACTTCTACTGTTCCCTCCCCCTAGCCACTACGGTTGCTGTTATATGAACTTTTCCTTACATGAAGGATCAAGTTTTTGATTTTGGACGTTTTGCTAACTAATAGAACTTCCTAATTAATATTATAGTCCCTAGCATGATTTAATGTCACTATGAAGTCCAAAGAAATCATTTTGTCTGAAACTGGTAGAAAAAGGGGAACCTGATGGGGACATGTAGTATGGGATACCAAGTCCCACATTGAGCAGAATGGAATGCTCAATAGGGCATTTAAGTGGGTGTGTTCTCTTATGTCAACAGTTAACTTTTGAAATAGGTCTCCCCTTCCTCCTTAAGTATCCATTAATTGGTATTGGAGCTAGGCTGTTGGCAGCTTCGGAGAGGGCTACCCATGGAAGGTTCTGACAGTGAGGTGCTGTGGAGTGCAGCCACCAGGATGTCAGCTTTTCATAGGCACCAATTGATAGCGACATGGGATTATGGGATATCAAATCCCACATTGAATAGAATGGGATGCTTAATGGGGTATTTAAGTGGGTTGGTTTTTTCATCTCAACACTAGCTTTTGGGACGAGGTTTCCCATTCCACTCAGGTACCTCAAAATCATACGACAAATTTTCTGTTTTCCAAGAAGACATTATATTCTTGATCAGTTTCTTAATCCCCTGGAACTTGTTCTCTTTAAATTAGCAAATTATACTTTGAATTGAGATTTGAAGAGAACAATGGATGCAATGAGAAGATTGTGCTCGTTTTGATTGGAAGATTCTGTTATTTTCAAATTTTGTTGTGTAAAGATTTAATCCCTGTAAAGCAATGAAGTGTATCTTATATTTAGACCTTTATAGCTATTTCCTGACTTTCAAAAAATTTGGGAGTCACTTCTTACAAGCGATTGGGAAAGATTATGGTGCTTAAATGTCTGCATTTTTTTTTTCGAATGGAAAACTGTAACTAATATTTATGAAAGAACAACAGATGTTACAAAGAGTCATCAGTCCTTCTATCATCCACCATCTCTCTCATATGAGATGGGGGAAATGTCCGAAGTTCCAAAACATAAGTTTGAGCACACTTTGGTTATTATGTCTTCCCTCACTTTCTTAACACTATTGCAATACTTTACTTTTTTCTAGGACTTGGTTCAAGCCGACAGGGATGATCCCAGCCTACCTCTAGTTACTGCGCCTTTTGGGCATGCTTCCCAGGTGTATATTTATTGATCCCCAAAGAATGATGCTATCCCTTTTAATTTCTGCAGTTTTCATTTTATATGCTCTTCTGCTTATATTGGAGACTTGCTTTTCTCTGACTATTTGTGCAGGAAATTGTGAACTTACTCCTGTGTGGTCAGGCTGTCCCTAATGTGTTTGATGGGAGGATGGATTTAGGGGGAGGAATGTTTCTTAAAGGCATATCTCGACATGTGGAAGTTGGATTTCTCACCCTGTTAGAATCCCTGAATTTCTGCAAGGTTGGTCAGTATCTGAAATGCCCAAAGTGGCCCATCTGGGTCGTTGGCAGTGAATCCCATTACACAGTCCTGTTTGCTCTTGATACCAGTGTTCAAAATGAGAATGAACTGGAGGAAAGGGAATCACAGATCCGGAAAGCTTTCGATGCGCAAGATCAAAGTGGAGGTGGAGGCTTTATAAGTGTGGAAGGGTTCCATCAAGTCCTTAGAGAAACGAATGTCAAACTTCCCCAAGAGAAGCTCGAGCACCTTTGCAGTGCAGGCTTCATTGTGTGGAGTGAGTTCTGGCAAGTTATTTTGGAGCTAGACAAGAGCTTGGGAGGTTTGAAGGATTCGTCAGGATGTATGGGTAGGAAGGTCTTTGACCTTTACCATTTTAACGGGATTGCTAAATCTGATCTGAATGGCAGTCAAGTAAACACTGGGGGTGATATTCCTCTACAACGACCTCGGCTCACAAAATTACGAGTTTCAGTCCCGCCAAGGTGGACACCAGAGGAATTTATGGCAGATGTGGCAGCTTCCTCTGCCTCTAGTGCAAATGAATCTGGTGGGAAGGACAGTGAAGTATCCAAACCTGAGCCTTCTCAACATGCACCGTTGGTGGATTGCATAAGGACTCGCTGGCCTCGTGCTATCTGCAGTTGGTTAGGGGATCCTCCTAGCATAGTGTGATATATGAATGCAGGGATGGTTGGTTGTGCGCTCTTGTGGCTCACAGATAAAACGTAATTTTTCAGCAACGGCAGGATGAAAGCAAGATGATGATAGCTTCATGTTTAACTTGTGTTGAAACTGGAGGCACATGAAGGAGGTCCCGCAGTCAAGTAACAATTTTCTTTGATATGTTCATATTATAATATGGTTTAGTGTATCTTTAGCATTATCTTCGATTTTTGTCTTGTCATTGAATAGGATAAAGGGAAGAGAGCTGTGTGAAGTTTACATCTATGGTCAACCCAACTTGTAAAATCCATTTTAATGTACTGTTGTGGATGAGGAAAAATTTATATCTGGGAGGGTTCTTAATAAATGTGGAAATCTGTTCTTGCTTTTCAAGTTGTAATATTAAGTTATTGTGCCTGACTGCTGAATAGGAAAATTTTCATGATTTTACCCCACGGTTATTACACCCTGTACTGTAAATTTATATCTCATTGCAGCACCATCTTTATGCATCTTCCCCAGAAAAAGTAGGAAACAATCTGGCATCTATTACCCCCCACTGATGATATAAATACACCACAGCCAATTGGGGGTAAATAGATGTGGTAATGTTTTGCGATTTTTGGTGGGCATAGTTATTGTAAGAGACTGTTTGGTACGGTAAAGATTTGAGGAAGAAAAAATAAAATTCTAATTTTCTATCAATGTAATGTGTTTGGCAGCGCAATTTTCTTGTAAACCAATTTTTGGCCGCGCTGAATTTGGGAAGCACACTTCCCACCTTCTTTGGCGGGAATCAATTTTCAGTTGTAGGCAAGAAAATCTGAAAGACGCATGTCAATTTTCGTACAATAATATAATACGTCAATTTTGCTCTCTTTTAAATTTATGGGTATTTTTGTAAAATGATATAGTATTTACCGTATAGTAAGTATGATTAAAGTGCCTCTAGCATTGTAAAATATTTTGTCAAACATCTTAAAGTATTTTGTTGTGTATTTAGTATCTTAAAATAATTTTTGTCAAGTACATATGACATCCTAAAATATTTTGTGGTTTTTGAACTATTAATCAATATGTATACTAAACCTCTTCCACCAAGTATAAACCAGAGTTATACGTTGTGTTTGTGTAGAGGAATTTGTCTCTCTATAATTTATTATTACCCTGGGATATGTGTACGGTAAAGTCTTACTCCCGCCAACTTTCGTTTTGAATCCACAGGGAATAAAGGAAACTCTAGCTTTAGTTTGCTCATATCCATGCCCTCTGAAGCCTTCCTATCCTTTCATCAAACGTCCTTTCAGTTGGAGTGTGACCGTGTAAGATTCACTGGATGAAAAATCAATCACGATTAGTTTGATAGCAACGAAAGGAAGTAGGCATGTGGGCAGAGATGCTGCTGCATCTGAAGGCTCGACTAATCCATCTTCATCATCAAATTCTGGTGGTGAGCAGAGACAAATGAAGTCTGTGAAGCAAGAGAAGTGAGCTGTGATGATTATGATTCAAGTTCAGGCACCATATGGGATTTGACTTTTATGAGTGCTTGGTTACTATAGTGATCAAGTTTGTCTGGATTTTTACGTCTATAGTCACGCTTCCAATATCAGTGTTCCCGGATTAACTCTTCATTGTCGTCCTACTTTGTTGGCCAAGTTTTTTATGTAGTTTATTCAAAACTTAGTCCTTTGTTTCAATGTTTTTAGTTAATGAATCTTATTTTCTTTTCTAGATACTTGTTTAATTGATTCTTTGCTTGACATTATTGCGTTGAATAATTATGGTTTTGATTCATAAACTCTTTTAACCCTTTAATGAATGTCAATATTAGTTTTAAGGTGATATTGTCAGATATCAACTTCCACAATTATAATTTCAAATAGATCAAGGAGATTGGCAAAGGCTAAAGTAAACTGAATACAAGCACTGCACATCAACATTGAGAATTGATCATAATTAAGAAGGTTGACAAAAATAATGCTGCAGTCAATCACTTGATAGCCAGCCTATTAACCATGTCCATATAACATTCTTCAATTAAGTTCTTGCCCAAACAATACCCTTGATGCATTATTAAAGGATCTAATATGTGCATCACCTATACATAAGTCTATTCGTATATAGCAGTATGTAGTTTTAAAAAATATTAGTTAAATGGATTCATTTTTCATTTGTGTTTTGTGTAACAATGCCACTTACCTCACTAGAAATAACCATGATAGAAAGAAATAAAACTAAAAAACATATCATATCATGGTTAATTAGAAACAATCACATTTTTAAGGAGCTAACCATAATAGAAAGGCATTTAACCTCAATTAAGGCTATCATGGTTAAAAAAAGAAATAACTTATCATCTATAATTAACATACACTATCATATAGCACATTCACATGCAAACCAAGTTAGGAAAGATTAGTCATAGCTAACACGGTTATAAAACAACACACCTCTAACTCATATATTATAATAACAGTTCAGATTTGAGTATCTCAATCAATATTAACAAAGACTAAACTTACAGAAATTGCCATTATCACATCGTGGATCTGCAAATAATCCAATCACATGCAACCTAAGGGCCTTAGGTCTACTACCAATACTCCAAGCTAGTGTCCAAGCAAAATAAACCAAAGATAGAAAATGTAATACGTTCATCAAGACAAACAATATAAAATATGAGAAAGTAAAATAAGTTCCAAATGAATACAGTCCTGATGTGTGGCAATATACTAAAAAATTGCATAAAGTAAGGCCTAGAAGCTCTTCATTGTCAGCTGTAGTTATTGAGCTTCAAGATTTTTCCCCGAAGGTCCTGCTTATGTATTGTTTCCTGAAAATGGTTGATGTAGCCTTGTCGTTAGATTGTCAAATAAAACTAAGCTAAATGCAATAAAGTGGCACTAACCTAGATGTCGATCTCTTGAGGAATCTATGAATGTCTTAGTAATCTATCACAAATATGAAATTAACCATGTGTGATGTAGAAAGTGTTTGTGTAACCAGTGACTCATTTAGCCAAAACTTATATTTGCTCAATTTAGCATACAGTTGCTTTTCCCGCAACGTGCCTAACACAATCTGTAGATGCTGTTCATGGTCTTCTGGTGATTTGGAATACACCAAGACGTCATCAATGAATACCACTACAAACTAGTCCAAGTATAGCTAGAAGATCCTATTCATGTAGTCCATGAATATAGCAGCTGCGTTCGTCAAACCAAATGGCATCACCAGAAACTTGTAATGCCCATACCTTGTTTGGAAGACAGTCTTCAGGATATCTTCTGCCTTGATACTCAATTGATGGTACCCTAACCTCAAGTCGATCTTTGAGAATACAATGGCTCCTACCAACTGATCTAGCAAATCATCGATCCGTGGTAACGGGTACTTGTTCTTAACCGTTACTGTATTCAATTCACAGTAGTCTATACACAATCTCAAGCTATTGTCCTTTTTCTTTATAAATAATATTGGTGCACCCCACGGGGATACATTAGGGTGTATGAACCCTTTCTCTGGAAGCTCCTCTAGCTGCTTCTTTAGTTCTACTATCTCATTTGGAGCCATCTGATACGGAGCCTTTGAAATCAGGTTCGTTCCAAGCATCAAATCAATAGCAAATTCAATCTCCCTTTCAGGGGGTAATCCGCTAATCTCTGTCAAAAATACCTCAGGGAATTCCCGAACCACCGGGATATCTAAAATCCCTTCTTGCATTTCTGCCTTTACCGAGAAGAACACTATATAACCTTGGCAACCCTGTCTTAACCACTTATCTGCTTGAGCCACCAAAATCATGTTCAATTTCACTTCCACCGTAGGGGGTTAACTCTAGGGTAGGAATGATCACTGTTTTGTTTTTACAGTCAAGGAGGACATCTTGGGAGGATAACCAGTTCAAACCAAGGATAACGTCAACATCACAGAAAGGCCTGCATATCAGGTCTAATGTAGTGCAACAGTGGGCATACTAGACAATACAATTTAAACAAACAGCAGAAGTTAAATTTTTCATTCTGGTAGCAGTAGAAACACACAAATCATACAGCAATGTGTCGACAGCAAGACCTAAGCGCCTAGCGCAATCATGTGATAAAAATGAGTAGCTGGCACCTGAGTCAAACAAAGCATCCATAAGGTGGCCATTCACAGTAACCGTACCTTGGATCATCTTGGGCAACTTACGAGCCTCTTCCTGATTGAGGGCAAACACCCTGCCCTGAGCCTGAGGACCAGCTCGGTGTTCTTCCACCATCTATCTGCTTCCCCTTCCAACTTGTATATTGCTATTTGAGCCTTCCTCTTAGACAGACATTCCAAAATAGTAAAAATCTTTTTCTAGCCACGTTATCCAGTCTCAGCTACATGTACATCAAAGGTTCCCTGAAAAGCAGGAGGGTTGTGTTTGCTGAACTTAACAATCCACTGTTGCAGTGTATCAGGCTCTACAACGGGTTAGGGTCTCATAAGAGCTACGTCCTGTGGTTGCTGTGGTGGTATGGGCTGGGCTGTCCCAGCTATTCCTTACCTAGACTGTTGTAACTGTGCCAATGCTGCCGCTACTGCTGTAGCTATAGCAGCATCCCTCTCTTATTCCTGCCTAGCTTGTGTGGGTTGCATCTCAGCCATCGTTCTCTGCTATTCCTCTAATCTTTCCATAATTCTTTCTATTGGATCAATAGGGGGCCTCAATGACTCTTCCCTTATACTGGCTCCCCTACCTCTGGATCCTCGTCTTCCTCTTACAATTTTGTCGTTTTTGTCTCAACTACAAGAGAAACAGAATCATTAATTTACATAAATGATATTTATATTGCTTTTCAGTTAATTTATACATCAGGCATAGTTAGAAAAATTATAGGGCCACAGCCAACCACAGTTAGCATAGCATAGTATATAGTCATCCTATATTTATAACCCAACAGAGGAAGACGGAAACAAAGTGGCTTTGAAAAGTTCTAAGTAATCCAGCAACTAATCAAAATCACTAGGTATCTGCAGAGCTGCCGGATCTGGGTTTGCCAAACCCAGGTGGTAGGTAGTGTCTCTAATAGCACCCGGCACCATAATGAGTCATCCACCTGCTGACCCTTCTTCGACTACTTCATTATGCAGTAACCTCAAGTAATAGAAGTAGTCCAGGTAGATCATAGCATACCGATTCTGTGTTGGATCTATGTGTCTACCAAGCTCAATGAATTCTTTGAAGAGACTGTTATGATCTTTAAATTTCTTCTTTACTGACAAAGGTCTCTTCTTGATTGGCAGATCCTTGGCCTCGATCTGCTCTAGCTTCCCAGTCTGAATAGGTACCACCCTGATCGCACTGGGGCCTACCTCATCAGGGTGTGGCTGAGGTCTTGTAGCACTCTGGGCATCACCTTTTTCCAACTTTATGACATCATTAGAGTCTTCCTTAAAGAATATGTCCTCTATCTCCCAGAGGGGCTAGTAATATCCG